GTATGGGTGTCTAACTTAGACATTCTTAGACGATAATTTCTAACAATGTCTAAAAATGTCTAAGTTAAACAAGTCTGTCTGGGCAACTATTGGGAGAGTTCGTTTTTCTCCGATATTATCGATAATACAATGTATCGTCTAACAATGTCTAAGTTAGACAGGTCTGTCTGGGCAACTATTGGGACAGTTCGTTTTTCTCCGATATTATCGATAATATCGTCTAACAATGTTTAATAATGTCTAAGTTAGACAGGTCTGTCTGGGCAACTTTTGGGACAGTTCGTTTTCTCCGATATTATCCATAATATCATCTAAAAATGTCTAAGTTAGACATCTCTGCCAGAATTTCATTAGATTTTATTAGACGATAATATCCTCTAAAAATGTCTAAGTTAGACATCTCTGCCAGAATTTCATTAGATTTTATTAGACAATAATTATCCGATAATGATTTATATGACATTGTCGCGCCTTCATGCATCTTTGCACCCTTTGGAATATTTCGGTCAAAATTTTAAAATTTTTGTAATTTTTGTAATTTTTGACAAAAACACAATTTCCTAATATCGAATTCAAATCGCCTGAGTATATTTTACATCAATTCCACATATATTGTTTTTTATGCCCGATAATTTATTTTCTCACAAAACTGTTCACCCACGCAGTCTCCAAATGAGAATTCCCTTACACGTGAACACCTCAATGACATGTTGTTCTATTTTTACTTACCTTTGTGTATATCATTTTTAGTTTCTCTGATGCAATCATCTGGATTTCGACTGAGTACCTTTACTTTCATATTTGCTGTTTTCGTATCGCCGATCCCGCCGTTTACTGAGTGGGTATAACTTCACGATTACGAATCAATACAATCACAAGCAATCGTTCGGTGTATACATGGAACGGTGGATATATTGCGAACAGCACGGAAATACAGACGTAGAACAAAGAAACACGTCAGTAAAACAAGTAAAATCACCTCAATATACTACAGTTGGTAATCAACCGCATTACACAGCGCTCTTTAAAAGCTAAACAACGAATAAATATTGCTCGATTTAAAAAAACACGCTGTGTTGATTCAAGACACACAGACAGGTCAACGTATGAATGTTCGTTGAGTATTTTCTCAAATGAACGCAGACATACGAATGGCCTGTAGGTGGCGTAATCGCGTAAGGGGTGGACATTTTATTCCGGGGAAGAGCAAGAAGAGAACATTTTACTTCTGGCAATTTTTATTTAAAAACATAATTTATTTCTATTTTAATTACTTTCCATATCGCGAAATATTTTGATTCCTTGATACATTTTATAAACTTGACATTTAAGGTAGAAGCCTACTCATAATTTTTGAGAAAGTTTGTCATAAATCGCATGACAGTGTTCATTGCTTTATTATGTAAAATTATGGAGCTATTGAGTGTTAAGGTGACGTATTTTGAGAAACTTGTCCTAATATTTTTCAAAAATTGCTATTTTCAGAACAATTCCATAGAACACATTGTTAAATAAACATTTTAAAACCCAGATTTTTTAAAAAAATAAGAAAAATAAATCTTAAATTGGCTTAGTCACTCGTCATTTTGGTGTTCGTACGCAGTTAACTAGAGAATACCCATGATGCTCTGCTTCATTTTATATTTTGCCATTTTCTGTATTATGAACGCTATAATGCAAATATTTTTTTAATGTAGAATGTTTGTGAACATATTCCTTCATTATTGTATATGTACAGAACGGTGTTGGTGGATTCATTAAGGTAATTTATAGTTTGAAAACATAAAAAACATGATACAAGATACGAACTGATCGGCAAATGAGCCTAGCCACTATGATAAGCAGACGCGACCCGTTACGCCACGGTGTAATGCGCCATCACACAACGGCAGTGATTGATACGGTTTGCAGAGTTATAAAATTGTACAACGAAAAGATATATATTAAAAGATTACACAACGTCATGTCAAAAATCCAAGATCCATGGTACGAACGTCACTACGAGTACGAGCAGGTTGACCTCCGTAGTTAAGGGTTAGTGTGTGCGCCGCTGTTTTGACCCCCATTTTCACGGTCGAAACATTTTGAAACCGTGATGAGTCTGAGCAAACTCACTCCACAGAATCTTCGAGCTTATATGACCTGACCTAGAGAGCCACAGAGAGCCGCAAATAGTGGCGACTACCTAGCTTAGTCATAAAAACCCCATAGTCTCTGCGAAGGAGAATGGAGCAAACTGCTATGCTTTCGGACTGCCTACAAGATCGTCATTCCATGGGCTAAATTACATGTATAGTGTAAATCATTTAGCTATTTGTTGATAGTATTACTTGAAAAACGGTTGCGACATTATTTGTATTAACTTGATTGAAAACATGACATTTGAAAGACCCACACAAAAAGTCATGGAAAAATCGTGATTTTTGTCATTAAATTCTAAAAACAAATACTAGACACAGAAAATAGGTATTTATGATTTCCGAGCAACTCAATCGTATTCCCCAACCTAAGAATTACCAAGTTAGGGGAAAGAAGCCTATTTTTATACAGATGCTTGGCAAAGATGGGCCATTTTAGGTAAATTGAGGGAGGCATTTTGGTTTTTGATGGCTATTTAGAATTCTGTGCAAAATTTCAGATGACCCAAAAGTAAGTTTCATTTAGACTGGTGAAAGTTACCATAATCCGTTGAGAAAATCTTGATAGCAAGTGTTACCTGCCACACACGTACCTGTATATTGTAATACATTTATTTTTTTGCATTTTTCTCAATCTTTTAACTATCGATTTAGAACCCCATAAAAGACAGTTTTGTCGAAGAAAATGGAGTTTAACAGTACAGAATTGTCTCACTCGAGAAGCAAGAAGCACGCCACCAACGCCACCAACGCTAGTCATCATTCGTTGTTTGGAGATAGGGCGCAATTCAGGGCCGCAGTCATACTAAATTTTGCTCAAAGCTGTTATGATTGTTATGATCTCGCGGTAGTTCAATCGAATAATCCCATTGCCGAATTGTAGTAACGGATGTACAAATGTAGATTATTTTCATGAATGGCTACTAAATAAAATATTATGTGGCAGAGTAGTATGACGGGTATAATAATGCACACCATGCCCAATTCTTTTTCTATTTTTCAGATGTTTACATAGACTTGCTTACAGTCTGTTGCGATTCCGATGAAAAATTCTTGAAAGATAAATATATGACTTTCGCGTTCATCCCTCGTTTACGCAATTTATAATATTTTTCAAGATTTTTTTATCAGAATAGCAACAGACTGCAAGCAAGTCTAATGTTTACATTTGAACAGATAAAATAGTTTTCAAATAATACGATCGTACCAAAACAACTTAAATTCAGGCATCTAAAAACCATATTCCCCAACATCATAAACACCGGTATATGGATATTGCCGAAAAATATGGATTCTTGTGAAAACCTAACTCCTAGAAAATAAGTTGCATTAGATCTAGAAGACGTTGCACTCGGACACAAAACCAACTAAAAGTCCCGATACAGCAACCTCGACGCGACATGAGGCGGAATAACGCATCTCAGTCTAGAAAAACCTAGTCAGCCCTGCGATCCCACTACCACGTGACACAGGACCACGCAGCCTAGCCGAGACATCAACCTCAATATGCCATGACGTATGCAATTTCACATGTAATCACTGTGCCATATCTTATTCCAATCTAAATTACTGCTTGGTTATCTTGTGACATATTATACAACGTCTGGTACGCACGTAAGTGTAAGGAGTCGGCCATTATTATCAGTTGGGGGGGATTTAGGATAACAACGATTCTGACTTACAAGTATTCAGGGCCATGGCTATTGGAATAATATAACTGTTGATCTGTTTAGTGTGTAATATTTTGTGTTTCATTTATTATTAGTAGTAATGGCGGATAACATGTTACCCCTGGTTGTTAATGGGCAGGGGTGTGGTGGGGATGCGACGTGACGGTGGTTGTCTGAACTTTCTTCCGAGGATAAGATTAGGTCTTGGCTTCAGAGTGTACTTTGTTGTGAACGCACATCGCCAATCCGGCGTAATAATACACTCCCCACCCTAAGGAAATTGTCTCTATTTAAAATGTCTGGTGTAACACGTTTGTAATAAACCCATTGAAACGGAAACGAAATACCTGCTCATTCATTCCAGTTAGAGGGAATTCAATCGGAGTTTTAATTAAAGTGATTGCGCTGTTTGATTGCACTTTGGTCGGCGCCTTTGTTGATGACGCGTGTTACATACGTTATGCAATTGATGATCGCCATATGGATAACGATTTTTGTACCTTTCCCGGTTTTTTTGTCGAACATTTTACTCGAAATATTCATAAAACAAATTACAATGTCGTATATTCTGTATGCTGCGTGTAGATGTTGAGCTACGTCATCGGCCGCACGAAATAAATAAAATAGGAGGTCAAGAATACCAGTTTCCATGGTTGAAATTTATAGCTATTTGCGACCTATTTATTTTTTCACAAATATGAAAAGTTACACGCCAGTGTGCATTGGAACACGTTATTTGTATTTCGAGATGTTCGCTAATGGTCTCGTTTTTGTCCATCCCAAAATTTGACCATTCCCGGTCGAATAATACACATATTTTTCAAAGCTTACATTAGCGTAAGTTGTCACGACAGACCGTCAGGGACCTTATTAGCATTTTGAGACAAAAACTCAAGTGATAGTGTTTCTGTGAGCCTATCAATATACTATCTTTCGTCAGCCAGCTGCATGTGGCACACACTTCATAATAATAGAACCACTCTGTCACGAAACCCAATTACCAAAACCCGACGATGACGTAATACGTAAACCTTGTTTGTAGTCTCGTTGTACACGTTAACTCGATAACGAAACAATCGCGTACAAAATGTCCTTTCAGTGTTCCTACTGTCGAAATAAATATGTATTTCGTTTGATACATCGTCCATCTTAAATGAAACTGAATTAGGTGCATACGAGACAAAAATAGTGCATTAGATAATTGTGGCAGACAAAGATATATAAAAGCTGTTCTGTCACGAGCCTGCCTCAAGGTGTAGTAATTAGCACTGCGTTACGTCAATCTTCACCGGAGCTTACACGTACTGCGTGCAAATAAGTCACGTGGGCATTTCTATTTCAGTGTTCTATTTTTTTTTTCGAGGAGAGTATTTCGCGACAATTCAATGAGATCGCAATATACACAATTCAACCGTTCACTATGATAGTCGAATAATAGTAAAGTGAGACTACTTCGAAAATAAATCACTAGAATAGATAATTATTCATGATGTAATCACAAAATAAGTAAACAAAACAAAACAAAACACCAGCGTTACAAATATAACCATTTGAACCGAACGCAGTTTGCTGGAAGATAGTTGTATGGGGTTACTATATAAATACGCCCTCTTGTGGTCGGTTGATGATTTAATAAACCGACTGACCAACAACTTGAATCATACCAGTGAACTGGTATTACTTTTAGATTGTAACGTTTAATAATATCAGATCTATTAAATAATAATGTCAGCTAATATTGTATTATCAATACATAAACGGTAATGTCACATTTCATTTCAATGATAGCGTAGACGCCTCTCATAACTCGACTTTATTCACCATAAAACATCGATATTACAATAATATATATTTTGAAGGTATGGAGATACATAATATAACCAAGAGAAAATTGCAAACAGCTACGAGATTGAAGACAATATACTAGTAGTCAAATCTGATATGTGACATTGTTTAAGATCGAACTTGCACTGTTCGAGGTCAGATGTCCGTTATGCAAATAACAAAATTAATAAATTCAGATTTTTTCAAAACATTGATGACTTATCCCCCCCCCCCATATGTGTTCTTTTGTCACGGTGGTCTAAAATTGTTTAGCAGACAGACATGATGTGACGTCAGACTGGTAAACAATAAGCTCACGAATTGGTTGGATGGATATATTTTCGACCAAACGAGCGAATTGGCAATCAGGAATCTTGTAAATTACTATTACTTCATTAACTCAGAGAGAAACAATAATATATTCTGCGTATGTATTAAAACTAAATCTCCATTATGTCAGTGCACCGTATTGTTACGCCAGATACCACTAACATGCCTTGTATATAATGATTCGCCGTGACAGACTGGTGAAATAAATCGCTGTCATGACACTTAGCTGATATTAATATTCGCCATCCAGGTCTCATTGGTATGAACTGGTAAATGCTGATGATAAAGATGTCACGCTTTTCGCTGAATATATGCACCTTTTGTCATGAATGCTTTCAGGAAATTAGTACGACTAGTTCTGTCGTCAGCACTGTCACATCAATCGATGTGGCTATGCTAAACAGTGTGGTTCGAAGCCTTAACTTTGACGCCATATACTTGATCAAAAATGCTAATAGTCTATATGATCTATATGATTAACCAAATCAACTATTGGTGCAACGACACTCCAGTGATTGGTCAGTGACAATGTTAACAAAAATCACGAGTCGATGGTCAGTGTCCCTAGTTTGTATCAACAACAACAATTCAACTTTATGAACATTATACGTGTTATTAAATGAGAGAGTACCACGTATGTGACATTTGGGTCCATATATGTGACATGTCGTTCAAGGGCGGTGGTCGTCGCACAGCTCGTGTTCGTGTAAGCTATGAATGTATTTTACACGCGTTGTGTACGTCGCTATGAGTCCCATATCGCGCAAGACGCGGCACGACGACCACTATCAATCGGTGGAAATATCACTCTAATGTTACGTACTTCTCGCTAGAATTACACGATATGTTGATTATTTTACTGATTCTTTTCCCTGAGAAGCAGTAAGCAGAAATAAATTGCATATAACACTCACCGATTGCAGGCATTTTTGAATTGATGATTTGAGATTAAAACTACGTATCGCGTTCCACAGTAAAATATATGAGGTGTACATTCCATGATGCAGCGTAACTAATTCCACTCCACATTACAATTTTTTTTATGATTAATGTCACAAATATAATCTGCCCAATTAGGTGGTGAAAATAACTCATACGAATGGTTTCGGAAATCAACATTATATATTATTGCGAACTTGTAGTTCAAAGGTATATAGATTGTGCTCGGCAATATTAAAAAAAAATAAGCAAAGTAATGTTTAGCCATCACATCGTGTAAATATAAAAAAATGAAGTATTGCAGTGTCAATTTATTTTTACCAAAAAGTGTGACAAACACGAACCACGGTGTGAGAAATAGTGCGAATCGATTCTTCGATTCACTTCTTGTGTTTTGCAACGGAGTTAAACGTTCCACATTAGTACGTCGCACGAGTGTTTGCCGACTGGTTAGGTGGTCTTAAATCTCTGCATATGTGAGTATGAAAGTATGAGGAGAGTTTACTTGCCCAGTGCGCTTCCCGAATGAAGACGTGACTGATATTGCTTCCAAATCTTGTTCAAAGACTCTTCACAAGACACAACTGTCTGGTTTGCTCAACGAGAAGTCCAAGAACCGTTGACACAAATGTGGCGTGTCGGTATGTGACGCTCAGGGCTACCTGAAACAAACACATGTCATGTATGTTCATTTCTGAACTGAACCAACAAGGCGTAATCACGTGAAATCAGTAATACAGCCTGAGTTAAGATCTGCGAATTCCAATGCAACATACCGTATATAAATAAAATTACAAGTTCATCGGCGTAAGTCAAGCTAAACGACGCGGACAAAATGGAAACCCTGATGCGTTACATCTATATTAGCAATATTGTATACGCTGCAATGTTGCTAGTTACTGCAGGGTAAGTTACTTTCCATCTAATATTCCGTTTATTGAATTATTGTGATTACCTTAACTTATATACTTGACCGAACATTCGTGTATGATACGTTCATATGTGTCATTCAAAGAATAGCAAAACTAACACAAAACTTTGACGTGATCTTTAAAATAAGAAACTGCAAATTGTTGAGATTAATCGGTTGTTATTTCAAACACGCCTCATTACGAACGACAAACGTTTATTTTTCTTCCTTCTGTAACCGTGCGTGACGATGGTAATCCATCAAAGGACCAATGTTATATCAAATTAATCTTCTTTTAGACCGCCGCGACCTTAGGGTCGTTGTAATTTTATTACCCAGACCATGTCACTTAATTGATTATCTACTGATGGCGTTGTAATGTAAAATGATCTTGTTATATTATCCTTATTTCGCTATTACACGAGCAAGCATGGTGCTGTGGGGCGCTTGTATCATTTTTTCTTGTTAGCAGTTTTATTTCACATTTACTGTATTACTCAATTTTCATCGCCCTTTGTAATGAACCGATGACATGATTTAATATTATTTTACGGAATGCATAAAGTAATCGTGAAGTTGGGTAAGTTTCTTTTTACATAAAATATACATTTTTGAAAGGAACTTCATTTAAAAAATGCGGTTTCACTTTCGGTTAGGATATTGTGGCTTGGAACGAAAAAAATCAAATTGAAACTTACCTGAATGCATATAGTTTAAAGCAACACGTTTGCAATTACCTAATGATAAAGTAAAACTTTTTTAAACTGAGCAATTCCTTATATAATGTTAACATAAGACGTAAAGCTCTCGCTGTCATCAGCGATCACCGTACGTCTTCTCAGCTCTTTTGCCACCTTATTCAACCCCTCGTCCTGTAGATTTAATCGGAGAATTGTTACACCGAATAACAATTTATATTAAGATTCCCCAATGTGAAAACGACCTACATGTGGTATACGTTCTAAAATTACCCATGATTATTGACGTGCTTCTATCAGCGTCTAATACAATGTAGTACAAGTTTAAACAATTATAGCAGTAGCCGTTTATATAGAATATTGTGTTACTAGTTTAATGAAATGTACACCCATTCACATTAATTAAGCACGTGTAGAGGGAGAAGACTACACGTGCCTAGTGTATCATCACCGGTGGAAATTCATTCAAACCACATAATTATGGATTATGTGTTCACACCATTATACATGTATATATGCGATACGATGCTGGGGTGTGGGTGGAAAATCCAATAATGTTTTTTTTTTCATGTTGAAAATATTTTTACATTTCTTAATGTGACTGTGAATGCCAGGTGATTTCTTTTTAACAGTAATGGTGCAATGTTGCAATGTATAATATTACATAATATCATTTTTGCATTTGGGTGAAAAAAGGGTTATGCAAATTACGACAAACGTGGCAATAACCAGTCATGGATTCCACCCCTGATGCGTGCATTCGCGCGTACAGACTTTACTACATCTTTGTCGAGAAAGAAGGAGCACATTTTTCATTTCTATTCGAGGAATTTTCTCGCTGTGGGAATATCTTGATATAAATGGATTTACCATGCCTCGGCAAGCATATCCTTTTTCGAAATCCACAACACTAATTTACTGCGGGCTGTAGAATGTCTTTGGAAAACTCTAATCTTTTTTTCGGCAAACGTAATTGAACACGTAATAGCAAGTATTAAAAGTAGTAGCTCTGATTGCATGATTGCAACGACGCGATGACGCCGACTGCGAGGGCGGACAGAAAATTCACTGTACGCTTTTGGAATGCATAATTAACACGCAAATAGTGGGGGTGATCGGTGTGCTCGAATGTTACATCGTTTTAGCGCAAACATGTCATATATATCGTACTGCTACGTGAGTGATAAGTTAGAGTATATTTAATTGTGAAGCACATGTTGAAGTGAATCATAGTTTTCTCAATTTATCACTTCTTCTCTAAAACAATGTATAATATCGATGTAATAATTGAAAACTAATTGAAGATTCAGTCATATTTGTCTCCTACCCAATGTAATCATAACCCAACAGACCGCTGCGTATTTAGCCCAGCAGAAACCAGAAAACTTTATCACACAGCGAGCGTTGTTACTATTAAATACAATACACGCCCTGTTGAACCACAACCATTGATACTCATCGCTCGGAGACTACAATGTTATCTGTCAATTTCCATGACGACCTAATCGTTACGGGGACACATTTGGTCGGTTTCCTTTTAAGCCAACGAAGCTTGCTTTTATGTTATCAACTGGGTTAGACTCACAGAGAGATAACTTCAAGCAGATGTTCCTCCATGCTATTATGGGATGTACATCAATCACTTATTACATTACCGCTAAGACTGAAATTACTATCAATATGGAATCCATTTTCTTGAAGATAATTTACGAGTAATTGACTATTTTTTCTGTATCCTACACTGTGATATCGATGATATGTTCTTACTTACATATGGGGACGTGTATCACAGGTAATACAAACACACAGTTTTCTAAATATAAGGATGTATGTTACATTTTGAAATTGAATGTACGTTACATGTTGTAATTGAAAGTACGTTACATTTCGTATTTATCTGTATGTTACACTTTGTTATTAGATGTACGTAATATTGTGATATTAGATTATGTTACGGTATATACATTACAATTTGTATTTGCATATGTGTTACATTTTGTAATTGAGTATGTAATTGGATGTACGTTACGTTTTGTAATTGGATGTACGTTACGTTTTGTAATTGGATGTAGATTAAATGTTTTAATTTGATGTACGTTACTTTTTTAATTGGACGTACGTTACAGTTTGTATTTGACGCGGCATGTTATTTATTTTTAGCTTTTTTGACTATATATGGTTATTGTACTATATCTGTGTTTAAAGATTTTCGAAAAAAAATGGCAATTTTCACAGTCATGGTTCAAATACCCATCTAACTGCCAGTCGCATTCCGTCACGCAGCTGTGCAAGGAGGGAAACCACCATTCATAAATAAAAACAATTGCAAACACAGTCCTGTATCATTTCTTTTATGTTTCTCACTTTGTTATAGTAGATTTCTATTATGATCTCCGTCGATAGCGAGGTAGATTATGAGCTTGGAATTCCTGATACCAAACTGGCAGACTGAATGCGATGTGTAGGTTTGGGAGATAATATGTGTTTAGCTTATCACATTTACTGCGAGGGCATTTCTTCTGTAATCGAAAACATCATCTCATTTGAGTTCACACATGTCGAAGTAGAAACCATTCTCCGATGAATCGATAGTACACCGGATTGTCTATACCTAGAGCGCAGCATGCTATCTAGAGCTCGATGTGATATCAATTAAACGACGCAAATACCACATCAGATTACCGAGCTCAAGATGATGCTTTCTGTTCACACGATGACATCATGAAATTGTAAGTTCGCCACGTTTCAGGACACAGCATTTTATTCATTCAACCACAGCAACAACTCCGATATTCTCAAATCGCCTAGCCTCTAACAGATTCAACATCATAAACTCACAAAACCACAGAGCAAATGCTATAAGCCATTAAGCACACATATATGAAATCGCCAAGCTCAAGAGCAATATTATATCCATTGAACCAAATGGTATTCTCCTTTCGTCCTAGTCGACATACCCCCACCCCCGCTAAATGGCAGAAATATAATGAGAACCAGCTTCACAACACTGGGCCAGAGAAACAAATAAGAAATATATACAAGTAACCCCAGATATACAATACATGTAACTGTAGATGATACCCGCCATCAAACAATATGCATAATAGTGATCCGAAACAAAAATATCAATTTACTAATCATACTGAAAACACATCTAGTTGATCCAAATCATTACCTAGGAGAAAGGATCAGATTAATGTTGGCTATGATGTGGATAATGTAAAAATCCCATAAAAATTCGTCTGACTCTTCGTTACTAGGTATTTATAGAATCTTCCAAGATTGTCTGTTTTGCCATGATGGCTTGTTGCAGATAAAAGCTTGCCGATGTTTTAGTCTAATCATTGGCTATATCTTTCCTAGCTTCTGATGGGATATTTGTTCTCGGAGAATTGGAAAGTTGTAACTTGAAGCTTCTTGCGTGACGTCTGTAATCCAGAGGAGATTGAAAGTTAAAAAAAGAAAGTGACGTATGTTTAATAGCAAGCCTTTTCTGAGAATATTCCTTTTCCACGCCGACATCTGTGTTACGGGGAATCCGTCAGGACGATACACTCGCGGTGGATGAAATTGAATTGGATATATTTGTTTTTCATGTTTACACGTTAACAGGTTTTTGTTTGCCGAGTTTGTACGAAAGCGATATCACATACAAGCTCACGTAGAGCACGGACTTGTAAATATTCAGACTGTTTACAATGATTCATTCAGTTCAATCTCCATGTATTCTCATTTTGAATGGAATTTGGCACGAGCGCAATGTTCACGATGAAGAAACTCATTTGTATTTTGGGGATAAAAGTAACGATGTTGACAAATTGAAAAAGACTGGTACAGTAATATATTCTGGTCTTTTGTTCACAATTATGCTTCACAATTTACGTATTGGTGTACATATGTTTTACTCATTACAGTATCATGACGGGAGTATGTTACAGTAAGGTAATCACCGTGTATGATGCGCCGTGTAAATTAATTGACCTCACGGACCTTCATCGAAATGAAATTTGTAACCCGCATGTCAAAGAAACGTTTGATTGACAAAGTGATCAACGCATTTCATTGTTTTTGCTTCGACTCTTGACTTTGCCCAAAGTAAGGACATAAGCTTAATGATTCGATATCGTGAAAATGTCACTGATTCTTTTCAGTTTTCCTTCACACTCGAGAGCACGAATGTTATTGCTTGTCAGTGAAGTATAAGATCGTTCTCTTCTGTGCCGATATTTTCATTACAACACGAGACACACTCAAACACCCAGTTATTCAGAATAAAACAACTGACAGATTTCTGGATG